GATTTTAAATCCAGCCTCCAGAAAGGAGAGGTGGCTGCTCATACATGCAAACTTTTATAAAATCTCAGCTTGCAACACATCCATGAAAACAAGGCAGAACACTTCGTTATCAATCACTTCTTGGCAGCCCATGCTCTGACATGGCAGCACATAATGCAAACATTTACAGCAGGAAGTCCTTGGGAATGATCAGCCACCAACAAATGGCAGCAGCTTATCAAGCAGTGATTCCTGCTGTGGGAAACCCAGCTGAGGCAGCGTTTCCACATAAATACAACACAGAGAAGGTCTCTCCCAATTATTAGCTGCAATTTACAAAGCTTTCCCTCTGATGCTAAGTGCATTTGACGAGAGCCATCATGATCTATGAGACAAAAACGGTGGCATGAAAGCTCCAGAGATTTGATCAACTGTGATTATTTGCGTCTAATACAGCTAGTGAGCATTTCCAATTTCACAAAGACATTTGTCCTGAGGCTAAAACATCAATTCTGCACTTACTGTCTTTTAATTGTGATGTCTCCTATTTATCTTTTTAGGTGATAGACTCTTAGGGGAAAAGATTGTTCTTTTCATTCAATGCACCGTTCTTGTGCCTGCTTTATTTTACACCAGAAGAGCTGTGCTCGGGTTAAATCATTTCCATAGCCTCAGATTCCCCCCCTAGCAAGATGAATCTTTCCTATTGCTAGAATTAATTGCTGCAATTTGTATTATTTTTCTACAACAATATCTGATGTAAAGATGAATTAAAGGAGACGTTGTAAGTAACAGAAGAGAAGTAAACACAGGAATGTTCCAGATGCCAGAACAATGTTCTTTTCTACTAAGGAAGCTGTTTTGCTCACCTATACCATAGTAATGCTTACGCTTTACAAGTACAAACTACCATGTACAAACCTGCTTTATGGATGTCACTCATCCAGGTTGTTCCTTTCTGCCATGATTACAGGTGCTCCATTTACTGCTATCACCCCCAGGCCTTTGTATTGTCCTAAATTCACATTTAGCTTTCACCATGTCAGAATTGGTCAAAGCATACAGCTCTTGGTTCCCAGATATTCAAGCTTGATGATTCATAAGTGATAAAATGTGACAGGACTTTTCACTGACAAATGAACTGCAGGGCATCCTAATCAGCAGGCGAGCAGCTCTAATAACTGGGAGAGAGTGTAAGGAGACAAATTCAAATGGAGCAGAACATCCATAATATAAGAAAGGTGAGATGCTACTCAGCCTAAAGCAGTGTCTCACTATACAAAGATATCCAGCTAATAGCAACTTTTTTTTTCCCCCCTTTGGAAGCAAGTTTCCTTTCAACTGCCTGTTAAATATTGTTTCAGTATCATACGAACAAGAATGGCAACCACTTCTAGCCCCCAGCCTGACTGTTTCCAACTTCTTTTGTCTTTTCAGTTGCAACAAAGTACAGACAGACAGCATGGGATTTTCTGATGGTTGTGGCAGTGCTTTTAAATCATGGTGTTAGGATCCTGCTGGTTGTTCTGCCTGCAAGGCTCGCTGGCAGGACTGGAATCACACCGAGTGGCCACCCTGCCAGCTGCTGCCCAAATCAAGGTAGGTGCCTTGCACCTGCAGCCTCAAGCAGAACCCGCCTGGGTGGCTGCAATGCAGGTGGGTCTGTGGTCTCAGGGAAAGTGCTGTCCCCAGAACGTCACCTGTTCCTACATGCTGCCTCCCACAGGACACCTGTTTCTGATCTTTTTCCCAAGCTGTGCCAAATGAGGTTTGTTTCAAGCATACAAAGCCTTGTTCCCTCTGCCCCTCTATTGAAAGCTGAGCTTCAGGGTGAATTTGTGATGCCATTTCTACGTTGGTAAAACTTCCCTCCTTCTAGGTAATGAGCTTTAAAAAAAACCATCAGTGCCTACACCCACAAAAAGATCTCTGCTGAGATTCTCTCCCTGCTAAGCTATTATTTCTGACAAAACACTAAAGTCCCACAGTCACTACTAAAACTCATGCTGATTGCAGAGGGCAAATTTCCAGGTGCAGCCCAGAGGATCCCCTCTTTGAGCTGAAAATACGTGTAAGAACCTGCTCCAGGATCTGAAGAGTCCCTGCTCTGCAGCCAGGCCTCGCCAGCTTGAGGAGCAGAGCTTCAGCTGGTGCTGTGAGCAATGCTGTGCGTGGGACCCCGGGGGCAGTGCTCAGAACCACTGGAGCAGTGAAAGCAACTGAGGGATGCGATGCATCCAGTTTGATCACGGAGAGCCCAGGATGTCAGATCTCACTGATCACACCGAGGAACAGGAGAAACAAGCAATCTATCACTCACTGCTCAGCCGTGCTTAGCTTATGAATTCAAGAAACAGAAGAGAATTGGCTGCCCTTCAGTATACTTTCTTGCAGAGTGACTGCAAAGGGATGGGGAGGGGCTCAGTGACAGGGATAAGGGAAGCTGTGCTCTCTAGCGCGTAGTGAATGAGCATAGCAAAGTACAAACCAGAAGAGCTGCTACTTCTTTAGGGAAAGAACTTTCTGATAATTTCCCCAAGCTGTTATTTGGAAAAAATATGTTTTAAAACAGGTAGAGCAGGTTATTTTGTGATTTCTTTAACCTCTGCTATTTGCGAAATCATAGTCAAAGGTGAGTGCCTATATGTAGTTACATTTCTATGTATAATGACCAGTGTTTCAGTCCCAGGGTCAGCCTGTGCAGAGACACATCAAAGCCCTGAAAAAAGGATGGGGCTGAGCAAATCCCTTCTTCTCTTCATTTATTCAGTTAGGATAAAAGCATTTTCCAATGGTGCAGGATGCTGTCAAACTTCCAGATACTTTAGTAATGAGGGCTGCACATGCACTGTAGAGAGCCAGATGAGGAAAGTCATCTGATGATGTCAGCTGGGACCAGAATCTGAAGGATGACACTTAGCTGAAAGCCTTCACACATTCAAGAATCAGCCCATTATTTTCTCTACAGTCATACAGTGCTTTTCACATCTATGGCTTGAATTTTTCATAGAGCAGGGTCACCCAGGTTAATATTGCATAATCTCGGTTGCTGTTCCTTCTTTTCGTTTTCACTGCTTCATATTTGCCTTTCAATGAACCAAGTATTTATGTCATACAGCAAACAATGAAGAGAAAATAACAGAGAAAGCAATGATGCATCTGCAACATTGCTGGCCTCTTTGATCTGACAAAGACAGAATAGCCTGCAACCCAGAAGGGCAGGATAAATCAGAGGAAGATGTGAAGAGAATGCTACTCCCAAGGACAATGGTTTGACCTTCACATAGAACACTTTCTTTATAACACAAACCCTCTTCAGCTGAAAGTGAATGATGTTTCACTTTCATGTATGTGAATTTCACACTGTCATGTATGTGAATTTTATTTCACATACATGAGCAAAGACCTCAACTGAAGAAGTTGAGGAGATTACATGTCTGCTCAGCACGAAGTGCAGATCATCTGACATTCTTCTATTAACTTAAACATACTGCCAATAGTTAATAAAGAAACACTAACTCTTCCACACTAAACCTGACAAATTTACTTACATGGTTCAAACTCAGGTCCGAGAAACAGATGTGAATAATGAAAAATAAATATCCTAATCTCTCAGCCTACTGGTATTTATTGCCTTGTTTGGTTGGCTGGGTTTCAGGGAAGACTGGGACTGAATCAGTCACGTAGATGGTCACCCATAAAATGATGGCAATCAGAAAATAAATGGCAAGACCTGAGTTAATAAAACACTGCGCGCCACAAACTAAATTACTTTTCACATCCCACAGAAAAGATGATGTCCAAGGGCATGTCATGTTGTTCCTCTGTAGACAGCTGAAAGGAATTCTCCAGGATCCAGAAATGGTGAATGGACTCATTCTGAGCATGTGAGAAATGAGTACCAATACACGAATACCTTTCATTAGTACTGGACACATCAACCCCTAGTCAGCATCTGGTTTCCAGCTGTTGTTTGCATCAGAAGAAGGTAAACAACAAAAAGTCTCTACCTGCATCAAGGGAGGAAAAATGTAATCCTTCCCGACCCAGATGCAATCAGTCAACTTATAGCAAGTAAGACTTTTTGGTATTTCTAGAGTTATCAACTTGGGACCATTTCAAAAAAAACACAACCCAACACCAAATAAATCCATACCAACCAACTAACAAGAGAAACCCCCGCCTCCCCCAAACTTTTAAAAGTTAAGCTTCAGGAATGTTCACTGAAACTATGTGTAAGATTGACCTTTCCTTAGCTCAGCTTCCAGAGTAAACAACATCAAGACCCATCTTTCTCTAATGCTAGTTGGACTAAAATTCCTTAGCTCAGTCAGGTCTCTGCAAAGATGAGTCTGGCAGGCAGTGAAAGTCTGTCAACAAGGCCAGATAATCTCTGGAGGTCAGCAAGTCTCTCTTCTAAAAAATGCTCACTCTCAAGGCCACCGAATTTTCAAACACAAGACAAGGTACGTAGCTTCTTAGAGCCAAGTGAGCTACAGAGCTTTGCTAAGCTCCAGCAAATCAAAATTGCTCACAGTGAAGCCTCGGCCTGTCAAAAATGATCTTCAGCACTTTAGTAGATCAGGGTCTGAATGCTCACTTCTTGTCACTGATGCTGGCTCAGAGGAAGTGCCATGAAAACGTTCAATGCCATGGTTTTGTAAAATGCACCTAAGAAAATTGCACTTTTTTTCCTCAGCATTTATAATCCATTGGAGGTTTTAATCAAGTCTCACAGCACTCAGCAGACAGAAGACAACAAAAAGCTAGGACATGGGACTGACCCCAGATCACAGAGGTTATCTGTGACAGTTTGAGAGCAGAGTCTCTGTTCTTTTGGCTTATAAATACACATTTAAACTGAAAGAATACTCATTCCTCTGTTTCACGGTGCACTTAAGAAGCAAATACTCTCTTTTATTTTCATACATTACTACATAAAATTGGCAAGGAAAGCAAAGCACAGAATATTGCTAATAGGGAAGATAAAGAGAAACAAATAAAACGTTAGCATAACTTACGGGAGCTGCGTTGTTTTTCACCGTGACACTTGGAGTTGTGGCTCGTAGTGCCCCACTCACACCGTGATAGTATTTGAAGCATATCTTTGTTTCAGCTGAAAAAGATAATTATTTTGGATCAGAAAAATTGCAGAAGTTGTACAATTGGTTGCAGCAGATAGGCAGGTTCGCTCAAAAGGCTGGCAAGTGGCTGAACTGTGAGTGGTTCATCTCTGACTGGTAGGCACAACAGCATCCCTCCTGACTCTGATCTGCTTTACCAGAGTGACATTTACAATTCTATTCCTATCACCTGAAACAGTTTAAATCTCTACATAACCACCTGTTAAGACAGTCAGACTTCAGAATGCATGATCAGAAACCTTAGCTATGGTAGGAAGAAAAAAAGTAGGGATAAAGAAATCCTGGCTGTTCAGATATACCAAACACGAGCACAGGAAGTGAGAAACCTCGTAAGACAACACGACTGCATAATTGATCACTGACAGGTTTCACCGAGTCTATTTGTTTTGGTCTTGGTTAGAGCAAGGACATATATCTACACAGATTGTCTGCTCTGATAGTTACTACAGAAAAACATTTTTCATAAACAGTGTAGCCTCACAAGACTTCACCTTAATTGTATTTCCACTGATCTAGAAATATGTGGATTAGGTGAGAAACACAAACAAGACCATGATCTTGGACTTACGGCATTGCTTTTGCCAAATAGTCAGACAAATACATCAAGTAAAATCCTTTTCAGTAACTGTATCAAGGCACAGAAGAAGTGAAATCACCTTCTTGTTCAGGAAGGGTATTTTCAGCCAGGTTCTCTGTTAGACCCTAACTATCAATAAATATCACTTGCTAGGATTCTAATCCAAGCCCCTAACTCCCCTGGACTGAGTGACCTGCCAAAGCAACCCTGGCTTCCTATCTGTCTAAAGACTTGAACTTTCCTTCAGAGCAAACTAGGATGTGAACTGGGTTTCTATGAACCCACACACAATGAGAACACAGCAGGTATGTAACAGATACAAATGTGGCATCTGAAAGATGCCTGCTTAAAGAACACAGCATTAACATCTTGCAGTTTGAACGGGGGGAAATGGAAACCTTCAGCAGCTACACAATGCATAGAATCACAGAGTAGCTTGGGTTGGAAGAGCCCTTAAGGACCATCCAGTTCCAACCTCTCTGCTATGGGCAGAGCAACGAGATTGCTCAGTTGCCAGCAACTAGATAAGGTTGCCCAGGATCCCCTCCAACTTGGCCTTGAATGCCTCCAGCAATGGAGCACCCGCAGCTTTTCTGGGCAACCTGTTCCTGTGCCTCACTACCCTCTGAATAAAAAAATTGCCACTAAATCTAATCTCAGTCTTCCCTCTACTGTGTTATTACTATCTACCCATATGGAAAGTCTGTCTCTCATGATTTTAAGCTCCAAGTACTGGAAGGCCACAATGAAGTCTTCCAAGAGCCTTCCCTTCTCCAAGCTGGATAAGCTGAGTTCCCTTGGCCTTTATTTGTAGAAGAGGTGCTCCAGCCCTCTGATCATCTTTGTGGCCACCCTTATGCATCTGAAGGTGCTTTTCATTATCAGGTTCTCCTGGACACAACCGTCCATGGAATGCCAACAAAGCTCACTGTAATTATGGTCTCTACATAAGAAAATGATAAAGGAATGCCACTGTTTTAATAGACAAGTCACACTGGTGTGAGAAATGATTATGCAAGGTGAACAGCGGGGGCCCTGACCACAGATTACATTGCTGTGACTGTTCCAGGTAGATCCAAAAAATAACTGTGATTAGGGGCCTGGAGCACATTCCTTAAGGGGACAGCCTGGAGAAGACTGAGGTACACTACATTAATGCTTATAAATATCTAAATGGTGGGTGTCAAGAGAATGGGGTCACGTGCTTTTTGGTGGTGCCCAGTGACAAAACAAGGGGCAACAGGCACAGACTGCAACACTGGAAGTTCCATATGAACACAAGGAAAAAATTATTTACTGTGAGAGTGACAGAGCACTGGAACTGCTCAGGGAAACTGTGAAGTCTCCTTCTCTGGAGACAGACAAAACCTATGTGAACAGTTTCCTGTGCAACCTACTGTAGGGAACCCGCTTTAGCAGGGGAGTTGGATTACATGATTTCCAGAGGTCCATTCCAACCTCTGTGACTCAACCAGAGAGCCACTACAGTGCATACACCACCGAATTTTCCAAACCCACAGCCCAGGACAACCAGACAGACATTTCTGCTCCCCCACTGAATTCATACATGCATCTGCCACTACAGACAGATGCCTGTTCAGCCTGTTTATTTTGTGGCACTTCACAAAAAACGCAGAACAGGATGCAGAGCTCCACAGCCCCTCCACACAAGGATCCAAGGCCCATCCTGGGGTTTGACCACAACTTGAAGGAAGTTCTGCAAATTCTAGAGAACCACTTCAGGTGACCACGTGCACAGCTGCACCCAGGGGAGCAGTAGCTTTAACTGGACAGTTTTTGCAGCTCTGATGGTTAAAGACCTCCTGGTATCATCCATCACCCCGGTTAAAGAAACGGAAGTGCAGCTGATAGCAGAGCTGAGCCAAGTGATACCTTGGTGGCACCTAGAAGCAGCAGTTGTTTCCTTTTGCAGCAAAAAAGCTAGATGAGGTGGTGGAATTGAAAAACTGCAAGTCCAGATTGAATTCTCATGTTGCAATTTTCTTTACGGAACTTTGAACAGCTCTGCAGCTAAACCCTTTATTCACTGAGCTGACAGAAAAAGTTGATGATAACACAATAGCTAAAATACACAATTCTCACCAATTATTCAAATCTTAATTTTCGTCTCCCCTGGAGATTTTTAGCTACAGCCTGTGTGGAACAATGGGAGCTAAAATACAGATAAACTTTTTTTTTTTTTTTTTAATTAACTCATGCAGTTAATAAAGTATAACTTCTGGTAGTAGACTTTATGAAAATGTTCAGACCTCACAGCAAGAAACTTCACTGAAGGTTGACAAGTAGGAAATCAGTTACTTTGTACACGGGGACACGAGGGTTTAAAATTACCTATATAATTAAATGAAAAGTACTACAGCACGAGAGCAGAAGGAGTGAATGTATTTTTCTGTAGGCACTCTGGATTTTGATATTACTTTCAAGGACAAAGGTTTACTAAGATAACTGAATATGCATTTAGAAAGAACCTCTGTGTGTACTGAAGGTTCCTTTCTTCTGAGTTTCACACAATTACAATTGATAATTTAATTTTCGATCAATTCATCCAAGTACAGCTGCAAACTAGAAAGAAAGCAGCCTAGAGAGATGCAAGGTTCATGTCCAATTCAAAATGGGGCAGAGGAGGAGTTACTCATCAGGCAACAATTGTCACAGTGGTTAACAATTGTGACAAGGGCCAGCTTGAATGGAAGTCTTATGGAGATACCTAAGGTTGAGAAATTGCTCTGGAAGCATCAAAGGAACAATGTTTTCTTTCTTTCTAATTTTTTTTTGGACTTTTTCCCAGATCGGTTTCAAATTGAAAACATTACAAAAATGGCTATTCTTACTGTATTCCAAGCTATTCTTTTTGGCTTCTTTATAAAATTTTAACAAGTACATCTTGCAAAATTACAAATGACATCTTTATGCACAAAAATGTCACCTTAACTTTTTGGGGTTTGTTTGGTTTTTTGTTTGTTTGTTTGTTTGTTTTGCTGGGAGCCATTTTTTCCTAATAACGTGATTGGTGCCTCCATTTTCACTTCAGTGGTGTCCTAACATTTTAATCCACATGAAGATTTTTCTTGTTTTTCTGAATCACCTCGGAAGGATACACTTGCAAAATAAACACAGACATTCACTGGCCTGGTACCCCTGCAGATGAACAGAAAGCATCTGAAGCACAGGCAAGACAGTGATCTAAATTAACCTGAATATTATCCAACATTGGCATTAGAACATGATAAGCAATAAGTAAGGTTGTTTGCACTGTAGTCTTGTAGATGAGCTTGCTCTGGAACAAAGACGGTCGTTTAACTCTGTCCTGTTGTTCTACACATGCTACACTGCAAGGTGCAGTGGTGTCGTCTGGTTAATTCCAGTACAAATGAAGATGTGCCATTGCTATTTTCATATCGGTAATTATGAATAGTAGCTCACTGGATCGGGTAATGAAGTTATTATGTTAAAATCATGAAGTAACGAAGTTAGATTCCCCTCTCAATTAGCATAAATGGCATTTAGACTGGCAAAACTTCCAAGTGATGAGATATTTAAAGACACTCAGAAATACTTGTGATAATTACCAAACTACTTGCCAAGAACAAAACAATCAGGAATTCCCTATACACCAGGCTTGGTATCTCCATTACATAAATAAAACAGTCCCCAGCTGCATGCTCAGGTCCACATGTAACTCTCATGGGTGCAGAAAACACAGCTGCCCAAAATCAAGGCCACCAAGACAGAGACGTGAACCCCACAGAAAAAGACATTTCTATTTCGCTCCTTGCACTCTACGGGCAGCAGCCTTCCATAGGTGGGTGCTCCTGGGGATGAGCCAGGTCATAGCTTAGCCCAGACACTACAGAGATCGCTTCTTGTTCACAGCACAGCTTTGACCAGTCTGAGTTGTGCCAGAGGACTCCTCTGCCATCGACTCTCCTCTCCCCTCTCAGGAAAAATATCCGGTCTGCAGAAAATTATTTCTCTATGGAAGGCCTGAATTATCTCAGTTACCAAATCAGTTTTGTGAATTAACAACAAAATTAATTACCAGCTGAACATTACTCTTCTGAGCTATATTCTATGCTGCTGTCAGTATCATCCAGCAGTTGGAAACAATGCACTAGCTATTAAACTGAAGCAAGAGGAGATAAAAGCTAGCAGGGGCTCCTAATGAACTTCAGATGGAGATACTGAAGGTTGAAGGCTTCTAACAGGTTTACTAGCACCCATCGTCCACCCATTCTTGTTTCCTGTCAGTATTATTCCTGTTGGTTCATGTGATTTGCATTAAGGCAGTTCAATTCCTCCAATGCTCTACTGTTTTCAAAATTGGCCTAAATCTCTTCTGTTTTTCAAAATTCACATATATATATTTATAACTCT